TATTTGAATTTATTCGTTGAAGCCTTTATCTAAATTCATTTTGAATTTAAAATTTTTCTTTTAAATTTGTTTAATACTTAAAAATTTTATAGTAAAAAAGTGTATACAAGTTAAAATAATGTTTTACAAAATAAACTATTAATAGTAATTAACTCATATTTGAAATTAACTGAATTAAATTAAAAATTATTAACTTATTTTGTTGATAGCTTATTTATTACACTTAAATAGTATATACTTCTTAATTATTTAGTATTAATTGTACTAATAATTAATAAACTATAATTTTATTTATTCAAACTCTTGATCATAGCCCCATTCTTTATATAGCTCATTTAGTGTATGTATATTAAACATACTTAAAATGAAATAGACACGTGTATGTATGTACATAATTTGATAAAAACAAAATAAAAGTGAATGTAGTTCAGTGCAGCCCTTAGGTGCAGCCACTTCTGACGTATATCTACATAATATATATATATATATATGTACATCTGTAAGCACAGCGTGTAGTCACAGATGTCTGTGGATGTAGTAGTGTAACCGTAGCCTGTAATTTCAAGTGCAGAAAGTGCAATTCAGTGTAGTTACGAAAAACAGATGCAGCTGAACGAAGTTGGCTGGAAATCGAACGACAAGCGCGATCTACCATTCGTCACGAGAGACACTTCGAGGAAGCATCAGGGCGTCGCGTGTGTGTGTGTATGCATTTTCTTTTTTATTCAAGATCAATTTCAGGTTATTTTCGTCGCACAGCTGATTTACATGTACAAATTTATTGATACTCCACACGCATTGACACATCTGTTCTTATTCCCGTAAAAAATTCATTTCGTTTAACAGTAACATGGCGAGTTCGAACAACAAATCGCAGAGGCTGTCTAATGAAGAGGTCATAGAAGAACTCACCAAAGATCTAGAAAGTTCCTGCATCCGAGTGGACGATTCTTCCGATGCGAACGCGCGAGCGAAGGACGATCAATGGGACGTCGTAGATAAAGAATGCAATGAGGATAGTAATGATAATGCACAAAATATAGAGGAGGACGTAGACGAGGAGCTGCTTAAGGATAGAGACCTGTTACTCACAGAAAGTGAGCAAGAAGTATGTCTATGATATTTTTAAAGATATCTTCTTTACAATATTTTTTTGCTTTCTAGCAAGAGAACACAGTGTAACACAGTAATCATCTTATTATTAGGAGCTTTTCATTTCCTTTTAGTGACACAAATGTCATTTTATCTTTCTTGGCATTCTAATAAGTAACAAAGATAAATAATTGTATGTTGATTTGTGTCACCAAAAGGAAATCATCTTTGTTTAACCCTCCAACAGCATATATATATATATATATTAGATTCTAACAGTCCTTATTTCTCATATATACTTGTGTCATTTTTATAACTTTTCTAAACTTTTTCCAATATCTATATAGCAGAATAATGTAGTACAGACCTTAAAGAACATGTTAGAATTTTTATAAAATTTTTTAGCACTTTGAGAACCTCAAAATCAAGTCTATCACAAATAAATAATATATAGTTCTAAGGTGCTGAAAATAAATATGCTGTTGCAAGGTTAAGACTGACAAGCTATAAGGATATAATATGATTCGCTGTGTTACACTGTCATCTGTGTCTCTGAAAAGCACCCTTCTATTACTATTTTTTGTATGTTGCAATCCATTAATTTTTGCAGGCATTGAAAAGTGAAGCAGAGACTCTAAAACAGGCAGGCAACGAACTTTTTAAAAATGGCGAATATGTACAAGCGATATCGCAGTACACACAAGGATTGCAAACTTGTCCTTTAGCATATAGCAAAGAAAGATCTATATTGTATGCAAATAGAGCAGCAGCAAAAACAAAATGTCAGGTGACTGTCAAAGATGCGTTCATCGATTAATACTGCATGTTTGTATATTTTATAGCTGTTATTAAGAAGTTATTGTTTTCAGACAGAGAAAGATTCGGCGATATCTGATTGTACCAAAGCTATTGAATTAAATTCAAATTATGTAAAAGCGTATATAAGAAGAGCACAGTTGTATGAAGAGATGGAGAAATTAGACGAGGCATTAGAAGATTACAAGAAAGTATTAACATTCGATTCTAGTCACACAGAAGCTAATTACGCTATCAGGGTAATGTATATTATTTATTTAAAATATGAATTTTTGTTCTATAATGCAGCTTGTAATAAAGATTAATTTTTCGAAAAAATGCGTTTAAAGTTTTGATACATTTAAGTAACAATTCCAAACAATGAATAACTGTTGTATTATATATATATATATATATATATATATAACAGTTTTTTATTTAATTAATTTTCGTTTTACATAATTAGTTGATCTCATTTCTTGAGTTCTCAAAAAATGAGATAAGTAAATTCCTTTCTTTAAAGCTTTAATTTAAATTTATAAAATAGCAATTTTAGTACCAAATATTATAGTATATTACTTATGGATATTATAATTGCTAAATTTAAATGCTCAAAAGTTAAAAATGTTTAAAAAGCAAAATTATATTTTTGTAATTTTTATTAATATTACATTTGCTTATTTTTCAGAGGTTACCTCCATTAATTGACGAAAGAAACGAAAAACTGAAGACAGAAATGTTGGGTAAATTGAAAGATCTAGGAAACATGGTTTTGAAACCTTTCGGCCTTTCCACGAATAACTTTGAATTACAGAAGGATTCCAACAGTGGTGGTTATTCCGTAAAGTTCCATCAGAACCCCATGTAACAAGCTAGTTATATGTTTCTTATTCATAAAAACAATTATGGATAAAATTTGTCCTTTACCTGTAAGAAATTAAGATATATTTGTATATATCTGCACGAATCCTATTATGGATTTTATCCCTCGCTCTATAATTAAATATAGACATTGATGAAAGATTGACAGGATAAAGTGATTCAAATTGTGAAAATTTCATCAGATTTTACATAGAAAGTTACTTTACAATTTTATAAGACATATTTATATATTCTATATGGATATTACTTTGTATTTTATTCTTAACTCTACAATTAAATACAGATATTGGAATCTCGACAGGATAAAATTATCCAAATCATGAAAATCTGATCAAATTTTATACATATAACCGTTTCGACAATTTTCCGCGCAAAGCGAGTTTGACTCGAAATATTTCTTTGCTCGAGTTAACCGAAGCTCCAACAAGCAACATATATCGCAAGTCGCAATGTCGGATATCTCGCTATATTTGGCGCCAATGCCAGGTCGGATATAGTCTATGGTTCAATAATACAGAGTTATATCGCCATCCCCGATAATTTTAGCCGCGGTTCTTTCACAAAGAGGTTGAACGACTTTGCAATCTCGGGAGCAATGAACGTTCTCGGTCACAGATTATAAATTATTATTCGATATTAATTCAAAATTTGAAAGTGTAATTCGCACAATTTTGATATTGAAAAAAAAAACTCGATCGTTCTTTTCTTTTGGATGACAGTCGTTAAAAATGCCGAAACGTCAAATATAGGTGTGTGTATATATATATATATCAATCTATACTAGCGAATTCGATTGATCGCATTTAACGCGCACTAGTGCATATTAAAGCCGTTTGTACATAAATCGACATGAAAATGTTTAAATATAAAAACGGATTGAACCATCGTCAATACATTTTGTTGTGTGGTTGAATAAAACCAGTTATTTTACAATTTGAAATATTTACATTTTACTTTTACAAATTAAATTCTATGTACAACTATATTATGCACTAGTCTAACCGAATTTGTTATTAATTACGAGGAAAATTTAGTAAATAAAAAAAAATAACAATTTTTATTCTATCGATATCTAAAAAAGTAGCATCAGTTTCTCTATTCCCCCACCTCCTCCCCTATAAGTGAGCAAGTGCAATGAACGATCAGGAGGGTGCGGAGGGATGAACCGGTGACGTATCACGCGCAAGCGTCTGACGTCACCGTCGTCGGAGCACGGTGCATCGTCGGGATAGACGAGGGGTTGAGCGAAGAGGGAACGAAAGCGTGCGCGTAGGCGTGGGTTAGAATTGGGGGCGCGATTCCCCGAATTTTCTTTCAGGTGCCAATGAATCGCGCTCGCAGATAATATCACAATATTATCTCAGTATGGATCAGCAATTGGTATTGAATTAAATTAATTAGTGAAATCACTTAAAAAATTGTAATAACGATCGTTGTGCCGTACTGGAAACGTATCGATAAAAGACGATATGCGATCGATGAAAAACGGTGACATTTAATCGCGCGAGGGCAGTGAGCAGCCACCCCATCAGGCGAGCACTGATACTGTAAAGGGTCTAAAGGGATGCGGGGGGGTAGGAGGAAGGGCGAGGATGCGGCGCCACAGCGTGTCGCTCGCGCGTCAAAGGGAACGAGGAGGGGATGCAAGGTAGAGGAGGAAGAGAGAGAGAGAGACTCAGTGCACGTCAGGGAACGGGAGAGGCGAGAGGGAGAGAGAGATACGTGCATGATACACACACGCACGATGGCCGTGCGCCGAGACGGCGAGACCAGACCGCGACGACGGCGACAGTGAGGGGGACGGCCGAGTCGTAGCCGCGGGGCGTAAATACGTGTGCGCGGCACCGGGATGCCCGGTTGATCCCGGTGGGACACGCGCGCGATCGTACACGCGGATCACGAAGGGATCGACGGAACATCGTGACGAAGACGACGGCGGCGGCGGCGGCGGCGGCGGCGGCGGCGGGCGACCCTCGAACGAGGAGGACTTTCGGAGTCGCGGACGAGCAAGACGCGGGCCCACCCTCACCCGCTCGCATCTTCTTCCTCCACTTCCTTTCCCTCCTCTTTCCGTGGGATATACGAGTTACGTGACGAAGTGATAAGGGAGCTCACGGCGACAGCGGACGCATCGTCTCGCTACCCTAGTTTTGATTATCAGTGCCGCGCTACCTATATCCGGCGCCGTACACCCTCGGGGTCTTCCGACTGGAGCACGGCAGACGGCGACGATGCACGGCGAAAAAGGGGTAAGCCGGATAACGGAGCGCGCGGAATCTCGGATCTGTCGGAGCATGAAAAATTGGGTCATCAGTTCGTTTATCGGTTCCCGTTATCAGAGCGAATGATAGCGATATCCTATCGCTTGGTTCCCTCGTCTCATCGATGTGCCGAGGATCGAAGGATAGATCGCTTCGGAAAGATCGAAAACGCGCGGAAGGTCTCGGTCTCTCTTCACAACGGAACATCGTGACTTTCCGGCGCGCAAACGACAGTTTTCTTGCGACCAGTTTCTCCCGTTTGAGCTGAAAATTGTATATAATTCGTAAAAATATTAGACACTACTTAAGACCTACTTTGAGCGAATATATAGGATCTTCCTTACATCTTTACTTAATTTGTCCCGAGAGAGATTCTCCTTCGCTGAGAAATACGACTCGCTCGGTTTCGCGATCGTTCTCTCACACTTTCCTCGTCTAAAATGGGGCGGTTGCATTTTGCAGGCGCAATTACTTGTAAATATTTATACTGCAAAAATGCATTAAAGAAAGAAGAATGTGAGAGATGTAACTGGGTCGAACAGATCTATTCCTCGCGGATTTTTTCTTAAGTTATTTGATAGAAAAATGCGAAAGAGACAGGGTGATGTATAAATGATGTTGATTTTTTTCATTAAGTAGCTAATGGATTGTATTAGCAATTTGTTTAACCATGAGATTAAACTCGCGTAAACAGTAAGATTGTAATGAAATGTTATATTTTGATTTGTTTATAAAACAGAGAAGAAAAATTTTAATAAAATAGGTTCTCCGATTAAAATTTATGAGAAATCAAATAAGTTGAAGATTTCAAGGACTCTTTTATATACCTAATAATAATTAATACGTTAAACAGGGCGAATAAGAGTCAAATTACAATTTAAAATCTAAATCTGATAATTTATAAGAAATATTTCAAGAAATCGCTAATTCAATAATACTCTCTTTAGTATTAAAAAAAAATAAAAGAGCAATTTTGTGTCACAATGATGCTTAGAGCTTCTCGCTATTTGACAATCGTGAAAATTTCAGTAAGATGAGCGTAATGGCTGTATAGCGTGCAAACCGCAAATAGAGTATACAAACAAGTAGTAAAGTCCGATAGCACAACTTCCATACGAAAAAGTGGCCACAAAACGAGGACTTCCGGTATTTTACCAACATCATCTTCCTCGACGCGGCGACCAGCGTATCTATAGAAGTCGAAATGGATCGGAATTATTCTATTTTTCCTATAAAAAAATACAATAAAAATTTACTGCATTACTGAATAATTCCGATCAGAATCCATCCTGAATATAATTCCATAATACGTATCGAGAGAATCGATCGTGTATCTCAAGTTTAAGTTTAAAATTATAAAAACGAGTAAATTCACTAGAATATCTATTAATGTCGTTAATCTTTGTAATTTTTATCTCATTTCAACATAAACGATCTCCTGGACTGCGTTCGAAAACGCTGCTCCAGTCTCTTTGAATATAATTTTATTTTTGTTGCTCATTGAATGTTGAAGCAAGAATAACATGATCGAGTGATATTTTTAAACACAATTCTGGAAACAAAATAAAAATTACAAAAATGAGCAAAATTCATTTGACGCAATTTAATTGTAAATATTCTAATAAATTCGCTCTTTTGTAATTTTCACCTAATTTAAAGACACATAAACGACTCCCTGTGTATCACGTCCAATTAGGATTTTGTAAACGGATACGTGAGAGAATAATACGTCACTAATTAACGTATTTTCATTCTTGAGAGTTTCCATTCTGATATATAAGTATATCGATTCCACATATCGTACACGTGCAGTTTTATTATGATGGGTAGCATTGTATTTTTTTCATGTTAGGTATTTTTATACATAAAAGAGATATATATATATTATAATATAAAAGAGATTTTTATACGTAAAAAGAGAAAGAAAGAAGCAGAGAGGAATTATGAACATTTATATATTTTTCTTTATGCATGGAAGTTGCTACATTTCATTAAATTATATGCTATATCTATTATTATATCTAATTATATACGCTACATTTCATTACGTTATATCTATTATATTTATTGTCGCACGACATTTTTATCTCAACGCAATCTTTTTGATTGCAATAAACGAAATTGGCTTTTGCTATATGAAAGAATCGCTCAAACAAGAATTGAATGTACCTGTCTGTCATAATTAATATCAATAATACAATAGTAGTATCCACTTTGTCGGATTTTCTATTGACGCGCGTTTTCTATTGATGTGTAACACTATTGACAGAATTGTCGTAATGCGAGATACACTTTATTACGGTTACGATTATTTACGGAGTGCGGTGTAATAATTTCAACGTACATCTATTTTCCCGGCATAAATTTCACAAAATTGATAATCGACGCAAACGTTAATCGTGAAACCAGCGCGGCGGCCGTCGGGGAAAAGGGATTAATTTAACGGCTTATTCTTTCACATTGAAGAGAAAAGCTGATATATAACGCCACTTTCCGGATTAATGTGATTTCAAAAGTTATATTTACAGAGAGCGCGTTCGAGGGTGCGGGTCGCATTGCGAAAATTGTAATATATATACGGGGTGTATCGAAAAGTTGAGCGCGAAAGATCGAGAATTTTCCAGCGAGATTTTAGAACGGCGAATGAGGGACTCGAAATGCCTGTCGACAAGTTTTATCGTGATAGAGTTTTATGTCGAGGGTCGTATAAGATAAAATAAAAATTTTGTTGAAAATCTCGAGGCCAATGGCAAACCACCCACTACTCGCGCTGACCTTTTTAGCCATGGGGAGAGCCATTCGCTCTTTCAACGTGCGCGGGTTGGACACCTCGTATATGTAGATGCGTATTAATTTTGCCGACGGCAATTAGACAATATACCGATATACCGTATAACGATCCTCGAGTGCGCTTGTCACTTTTACGCTGTATGCATGAATACAGCGCATTTACGCGGGATTACACGTGCATCGCTTTATCGCGTCCGACTTTCCCGATTCGCATCCATAGCGGATGTCCGCGTATATATGTGTCTTTGATCACTAATGAATCGTGCTCGTTGCGATTGCGTAATGCAGCGAATTATTTCCGTGCGCGACATGACACACGCCAATGGAAATCCTCTCTCGAGGGATTTTAGGGCTCCACAGCGGCTTTAATTACATCCACGGAAAATGTGTTACGGGGAATTTTACCGCGAATATTTCTCATTTACATGTACATGTTGCGTTATTTATTGCGTAGCATGTTTTTATCAATTGTATCGCGAATATCGAAAATTTCGAATTCGCGATGAAATCGCGAAAAACAGAGGACCGTGGCTATCGAAAATTTTCGACTATTGGGTAATTCTATTATATATTGCTCATATAAAAAATCTTTTCAAATACAAATCTACAAATACTCAAAGATGTAGTATACGTATTTTTTTTTTTTAAATGAAAAGACCACAGATTTGTCTATATTTAAAAATACAGTATATAAAAGATAATAAAGCTTCAAAGGAATAAATTATAAAATTAATAAAAATATGAGCCAATGTAAGTCAACACAAGATAATAGTGTATAATAATTGTATATAGTAATGACAATAAAATAAAATAATAACGTTTCAACCACAAATTGTAAAGCAAAAAGATTTACAGATAATTATTGAATATTATATAGCGCAATAATATAATCGAAGTACTTAATAGAACAATGGAAATATTTTATGTTTAAAGTCTGTATATAAATCCAAAAATAAAATCATCAACCCTCAATAATATTTGGCAGAAAAATTCCAAGAGTTTTTTTTTGCTCGATCAAAGCGCATGACGTATGTGTGGTAAAACGTTATACACACACACACATACACATACGATATTATTTACTAAAAATTATACTTATCATATCGTAATGCTCTCAATAATTCTATAAATTTTTTTTAATAAAACGTTATTTATTATTGTCATTATATACATAACACAACAATAATGTATATTATAACATTATCTTGTATCGGCTTATATTGATTTATTTTTATTAATTTTATGATTATTTCCTATATTGTATTTAAAAATAATGCGAAAAGCTTGACAACAATTTAGAACCTGGGCTATAAATTATTCATAAATAAAATTATTAAATATAATATTATTACAAATATAAATATTTGATAATACAATTTTATAGTTTAAATGACGTTATTGAGCTGTTTCATATGTGAAAAAAAAGTTTAATTTTATACAGATAGTATAAATTTCTAATTCTATAGTAATTTTTTGTAGAGAGAAACTATATATATATCTGATACATTATAATATACGTAATTAATATTTTTAAGTTGATTATAACAAAAAATTGAAAATCAGATTGATAAAAATTGTCAAATTACATGTTGGCACAAAATTTCTGACAGCTACTATAATCCGAACAATTTCGCGTTTGAAAGGTCATATTCTTTTAGTAAAAATGTCGATCATTCGGTTAGAATGGAAAGATTAGAGAGATTGTATAGCATTATTAGGAATTCATTTACTCACGAACAAAACGAAACGTTTTGCTTAGCAGACAAGTTCGCTTTTCTTAAAGAGACATAGTTTACGCATGCGAGAGAATATCATCGATTTACCCAGTCGCGTTGTATTTAATGACAATACGTGCATACGGACGATAGTTTCGTTACTTAGAGGCCATACGTGTACATCCATACATGTCTGAACAGTGGGTGCCGTGTCATATGTTACCTGCGTGTATGACGTCGATGACGCGATTCCCACCGAGTTGGAGCACGCGACATCGATAATCATAATGATTGCGGCACAGGTGGAATTGTTTCTAAACACAGTCGTGCCAGATTCGAGCTTGCAAACATGCTTGCCACTTAAGAGAAACGTCGATAAGAGGTAGGACGATGTAAAGACCCTGCACGATTGAGATATGAAACGCCGGGATAAAGTCGATCCTAAAGACGGGCGTTTTCGCGCGAGGGAATTGCCGTCTGCCGTCTTAAAGACGACAGGATATCACGTCACCGAAGGTCGTTCGTATCCTCGTAATGGGTGCGAGGTAACTCGATGTGACTTGGTATAAAACTTAGTATAAAACCGATACAATCACGAAATTGCTTCCATTTCCACGTTTGTATACAATAAAGATCGCTCTTCCCGAATTGGTTCGAGGATTTCGGCTCCTCAAATCGTGTAAGAAAAAAAATTCAAAAGAGATAGAATTTTCTCAATATCAAAGAGACGTGCTCGAATTATCCCGATTTAAGTTGCTTATATTTTCATACAAGAAAGAAATGAGAATCACTATTTATTTTGCCTCCTGATGGGACTAATGCGGGGTCTATACAATAGAAGTCGCAGCGGTCGTAAAGTCTCGTAAAAAATTAACCAATCATAATCGATTATTCTTCTCACATTCAATTGTGATTGGTTATTTTTTTACGACTTAAGACTCTATAGCTGCTACAATTTCTATTATAGGCCTTCTACAATAAGTCATTACCTAAGTTTTAAGTATTAAGTCATAAGAAATTGATCAATCACAATCGAATGTGAGAAGAATAATCGACTGTGAGTGGTCAATTTCTTATGACTTAATACTTAAAACTTAGGTAATGGCTTATTGTAGAAGGCCTATTTTATAGATCCCTCGTATTAGTCCGCTCAAGAGCAAAACACATTATTGTATAGTACACAATTATAATATTGACACAGAAATACGTACGATCTAAAACTTACAGTAACAAAGAAATATATAAGCTAAAAGAAAATTTTAAATAAAATAAAATCAAAATAACAAAATATACATAGGCACAGTGTATGTATGTAAAGTCTATATAAGGAGAAGAATCTAAACAAGTGTTAATTAAAAGTCGAAAATTCAATAACACATAAATCAGAGTGATAGAGAGAGAAAGCAAGAGGAAGGGATGCTAATCTATAATTACTAAATGTTAATTCGTTCAGTTGCAGACAATGAGATGCAGGTCGCGTAATCTGCAGGCGCGTCGCAGGAGGTGGCCTTTACGATTGGGCCTCTTACTGATTTACGTCCTCGTGCAGTATGTCTCCTCCACGAAAGTTCCTTCTTCGACTGAGACAGTAATGCCGTCATCGAGTTCTATAAAGTGGACATCGGAGCCACCGGTATCTCAGATCATCTCTACCGAGGGGGAAGAACCGATAGAGGAGGTGTCGACGGTCGCTGTGGAAGAACCGAGGAAAACGGGCCATGCTGAGGGATCGAAAACCGAAACGTCGAAGGCTCATGGACGCGCGAAAGCTGAGACGGACGTGAGAGATCTGTCTAAGGTAACCAAGATCAAAGAAACCACGAAAAAGGAAACCGAAACGCTACCGCCGAAACATGATCAAAACAGCACCACTACGGTGAGTATCGTGAGTGTAGGCTTCTATCGTGATATAGCCGGATAGCTTCCTTCTCCTTCTTTCGATTAATAATTGACCACACGAAAACGAAACGGATAGTAGACAAAATATACTTTTAACAGAATAATTTCAGAGGAGCGAAAATATGAAGTCAAGGCACGAGTGTACAAAACATACTCGGCTAGCCGGACGTGACGGTTAAATGGAAAATGTAGATTCCATGAAGCGCGTGACAGTTTTTCAAATAAAAGGAAGGATCCTATTTTCAGTTGATACGGATCTTGATGCTTAATAATATTTATATGTAGATTTACAAATATATTGTCTGTAAACTGCGTTCCAAATTGATTTGACGAAACACATTTATAAACTGAACCTGGAAATATCATCACAAATTGCATTAAAAAAATCATCTCAATTTAATAATGATATAATAATCATCTTAAAATACTGCAAACAATTTATTACTAAAAATAACACATTTTTTTTATAGAACTGAAAATGTATTATAAATTTACATATATGTGTGTGTGTGAATATTATTAAGTAGCAAGATTTACTTAAAACTAGGATTCTTTCTCTTATTTGATTTATTCTCATTTAATTTCTATTTATTATTAATTATAGTTTTTGTTTGCAAAAAAATTCTTATAAAATTTGGTGTAGAACTTATGGATGCACAATCAACTTTATTGTATTTTTGTCAATACTGTATCGACAGAAATACAATAAAATTCGTTAACAAAACGCAACAACGAACGCAGAAAAATTGTGTTCTATTAACGAATTTTATTGTAACCAAAAATCAATAAAATTTACAATATAATTTTGACGAATTCTATTTAACTCTTAACGTCGACATGATGTGTTACTTAAGCTGTACTCTTAAGCTTTGTGAGAGAAACATGAGCTTGACATAGGCGTAATCAATGCTAATCGACAGCTATCTATCGTGATCTCCACTCGACGCGACGGTTTGCTTGTTGGTGGTTTGCACACCCCATAGGTATCCTTGTATCTCGCAGCGCAGATGGATACTAACATCTCGAGGAAACAAGATTAGAGGCTGTCGCATAGATCAGAATTGAGATACGCGATACACGATGCGTGGTAGTTGCGTAACACCGTCAGGCGTGATGCATCGGATACTATTGCTACGGATTAACGTGCATTACGAGAGTTTTATACTTTTATGAAGTTTTATAATTTTCCTCGAAGATACAGCTCGAATTATAAACACATAAACAAGCGATCTATATTAAATCTAGAGTACTGCTATAAATTTTTTGCCTTTATTTAAAGCCACGCTGGGGTACAAAAATATTTCATTCTTTATAGCATAAAATGCTTTGTACATGTATAAAAGAATTTAGTGACAGCTCAATCTCTTCGTCTTTTAATAAGGAAGAGAATGACGTTAATTAAATTCAATTTGCTTTATAAGTTGGTTAAAAAAATGGTTTGAACAGAAAAAGTGTTGAAAAAATGCAGAAAAGTCTTTCATACAAATGTTTTTCATACAAAAATAGGTTACGTTCTTCTAATTAATTAATTTTAAACGGGGTTTTAAAGAAGACAGTTTGGGCTATAAAAAAATAATCATTATTGTAATCTCTTAAAAGAGTAGAATCATGTAGTTATAAAAGAATGTCGACAAATATAAAAAATTGGAAAATAGACAACGAAAAATCACTAATAAATTTTTTTACACTTAAATTAATAAATAAATAATTGAAGAGCATATAAACCCACGCGCCTTTGTTATTTATTTATTTATTAAAAAAGCCCTATATTCTTTTGTTATTGTATTTTTTAATTAAAATGAATTAAAATAGTAATAATATAAAAAACAAATTAAAATGGAAATACAGAGAAAAATATAATTAAAAAATTGTAAAAAGACTTTGTTAATTACGCAAATTGTATAAGGTATAATAACGAAGAACTCTGTGGTTTTCACAAACAGATCTTCGGCAAATGCTCCAAGCCACGCGAGTTTTCCACTTGTCCGTTTTAGAGTAGAAAATGCATCTTGCCAATTTGCCGAGCGAACGGGATACAAAAATTCTAGGGTTCAATGCTCAGAATTTCTTCAATTGCTAATCAAAAGTCTCGGTGCAGAATTTTTAATCTGTAATCAAACATGAAGGAGTGGACTAATCCGTTCTTTACTAATGTTTTGATGAAATCTCTTCTCGCGTACTCTGCGTTATTAAAATTATAGAGCACCATTGCCTGCTTCGTCGAGCATATTCATCTATACTCTCATGAGCCATCATAAGGTTTTTCCGACAGTGGAACATCCAATTTAATCAAACACGTCCGTATACCATCTTTCGTGGAGTTGTAAAATGTGATGATTTTAGGTCTTTGTAAATAAAATTACTTACCTGCAAAAATATACAAATGCAATGAGGTACAAGAACGAAATATTATTACGTACATATAACTCAGCAACTAACGACTGACTAGCGTCACTATCGGCTGGTCTGACCCCATTTCCAAAAAGTAAAATTGAATTATGAATTGAATTCTGAACCGAAAATGTCTGCTAGCTTAGCAACGTAGTTTGAAATTTCTTTGAGATTTATTTTTACCCCGGTATAGTATACGTACTCTAGGATTAATAATGAACGATACTTGAATGCTGAAAGAATTTAATCCTCCGAAGCTAACATCAAATTCTGATAAGTTACTGACGACGGGTCTGTGAAATCCATTTAACTTATATGTTGACTAAAAGACTCTTTAAGTAGTCAAAATGACATATTTAATTTGTATTAAAAAAAAGAATGATTATTAAGTTTACTTTAGTAACAATAATTCAAAAATTTCAGACAAATTATTTAATGTAATTGAGTAAATCCAATAGACTTACGTCAATTTTGGAGGATTAATTTGTACGATCTTCTTTCGTTTTAATTTTGTTGTAAATGGAACAGGTTACCCCAACCATCCAAATGACTACGAGGTACCCGTACCCCACGGTGAGACCACGAAGGACCAACTGTTCAGCGCCCGCTATAGAGCAGTTTCCACGACCGATAATGGGCCCCGAAGCCAGGAAACACGGCGGGCTCATAATACACATTCTGGCTGCTATCTACACGTTCCTAGGCCTCGCAATTGTCTGCGATGATTACTTCGTTTCGAGCCTGGATAGGATCTGCGAAGGTGAGGCGAGTGAAAATCGCCCTTCTCCCCCAGCAATCACGTTGAAATCAATAATTCTGTAACTCGCGTTGAGTTACAGCGTCTTTACGCATAATTTTGCAAGAGGATTGTATTTCATTGCGCAGATCTGTCGCGAGATTTGTTATTAAGACAGTGTCTCGATTCCCCGATTTTTTTTAAATTGGAAATAGAGGTTGCTTTTAGATTTTCAATATCCGACATGATTTTGAAATAGTTAAAGAAGATGTACGATCTTTGCGATTTTATTTTAAATAATTTATATTTGAATATTTATATTATATATATATATATATATATATTCATATAATATATATTTATATTATATTATATAATTTATTAGTATTATATAAATTCATTATATATCTTTTATCTTCATCAGAACTGAGACTGTCTCCCGATGTTGCTGGTGCCACTTTCATGGCGGCAGGCTCTTCTGCGCCCGAACTGGCGACAGTTATCATCGGTGTGTTCTTCGCCAAGGACGACATTGGAGTGAGTATTATGGTTGCCTAATCGCGCCTTGCATGCTTCGTCGCGTTCATTAAACGTCATGAAATGTAAACTACATAAATAACATTACGCAAGCCAGTACGCGAGCAAATCATTTGTTTTAATCGCAAGGGAAACTATTTTCGTTATCACGTCACATGAATCTGGCTGTCGCTCGACAGAGTAAGCCAGACGTACCCGTCTCGTTAATTAACAATACAAAATTTGTCAATTAAATTCTTCCGTTTTAGGTCAGCGGCGTTATTGGCAGCGCTGTTTTCAATATAATGTTCGTTATATCGATTTGCGGCCTATGCTCCGCGACGGCCTCAAAGTTGAATTGGTGGCCTCTCTGTCGAGACTGTTTTTTCTACGCCATTTCGATCCTCGTGATGCTCGGTACGATTTACAACGAGTCTATATCCTGGTAAATATCGTCATATATCCAATTGTGTCCGATTGCGGTTGGAAATGTCCGAAAATCTCATAGACGAAATAAAAATGCCTTTCAGGATGGAATCCCTCTTCATGTTAATCATGTACGCAGTCTATTGCGTGGCGCTTTCGTTCAATGCTAAATTGGAACGTTGGGCGAAATCGTACAATATTCCATTCCTGCCGAAAGACGATGAACCCGCTGAGGAAAGCGCTCTGGTGAGCTACAGATCCTTACAGGAGGACCGATTATCCTACACTGGTCCTAACTCGCCGGTCACCGAGCAAATGAAGAATCAAGAAGGTAATCAAATAATCTCGTTTATTCATATCTTCTGTATATTTTTTTAGAGATCTGAATGTATTCTTTATTTTTCAGGAAATGGCATTCAAGAAACGATTGAGCAACAGCAGCAGCAACAGCAGCAGCAACAGCAGCAGCAACAGCAGCAGCAACAGCAGCAGCAGCAACAGCAGCCGCCGCCAGTACCGAGGCAGCCCGAATATTACAAAGCAAAGGAACCCGATCCTAACGAAGTATCGCCGCTCGTGATGCCGACGGATGGTAGCAAGTGGACTTTGTTTACTTGGGGCCTCGTGTATCCTATTCACTTCATGTGTCGGGCGACAATGCCAGATTGCCGGCAAGAAAAGTGGCGGAGCTGGTACCCCTTCACGTTTTGTATATCAATGATCTGGATCAGTTTCTACAGCTACATAATGGTGTGGATGATCACGATCATAGGTAACACTATTATTTGACTCGCTATTGAATCATCTTTCAGCAAATAGAGCCATGTTAGTAAAACGATTGAATTTGCAGGCAGTACTCTGGGCATTCCCGATACCGTGATGGGGTTGACTTTCGTTGCCGCTGGTGTGAGTGTACCGGACGCCCTTTCCTCACTGGCGGTCATTAAGGAAGGTCTTGGTGACATGGCGGTCAGTAACGCCGTAGGCAGCAATGTTTTCGACATCCTGGTATGCCTCGGTCTTCCGTGGTTCATACAGACCGCTATGATACAGCCCGGCTCGCACGTTAATGTCACCAGCAGAGGTATGTGGATTTATCTATTTATATTTTTAATCTCTTTATCTACAAAACATACATACTTGTGCTCTATATCGCTTATATATCTCGTTCTTATCAGGTTTGACATATTCCACCGTTTCTCTACTATCGACGGTGTTATTCCTTGTACTGGCGACACACCTGAATGGCTGGAAGTTAGACCGACGATACGGCGTGGTTCTGATGGTCTGGTACTTAATATTTATCGTGTTCGCGTCACTCTACGAGCTCAACGTCTTCGGCGAGATGAATCCGCCAGTATGCCCTAGCAAGTTCTAATGCAAAGACGCCTCGTTCATTTCCGACCTTTGCTTTGCTCAAACGCGGAACGATCGTCCGGAGCAAGAATCGTCGTCCCGGCCGATTGGCCCGCGAACGATGACGCACGGTCGTAGATCATCGTAAACGCTCAGCGACCTCGTTCGAACGTCCCTTTCCCCTTCTTCCTACTCGATAACGAAGACAGCGAGAAACAAATGAACTTAGAAGGTAGCTGCATGTCAAAAAGAAGCACGATTTTTAGCTTGCTGCGAAATTGTTGAAGCGACCGTTTGAGATTTTAGATAAGAGCAAACGGCTTATGTCGTTGAGCTTTTTTTTTTCTTTTTAGGCTGTTGTAGAGAATCTAGACAATATGTGCTCGCGCGTGAGTACACAGGCATTGTATCCCATTGGTGCTACTAAAAGTGACAAAAATAGTATTTTGTTTGCTTCCGTTCGACTAATGAGTCCAGATCTCTTACAGTTAACTGAAAGTGCAGAAAACATGATTTTTTCTAAGCAACTAAGTTTTCGGACAGGCAATACGGTTATTAAGTTGTAATCATTATATTAGATAACGACGTATTGATGGTATCAGCAGTTGTTTGCTAAAATCAGAAAATTGGCATTAAATCGACCGTCGCAAAGTTCCAAACTTCTCCAATCTTAACTCTTAGCCACAGACCTCATTGTACATCGCGCGAGACTTGTCCGAATCAATATAGAAAAGAAAATGTGATACGTTTTATATCAGCCATATCGCGCAAATGCCTGAGTACCATGGAAGGGAAGTGCGTCTTGACAATTAATCGTTTTATATTCTAAACATTAGAGTAAAAAGAATTCAGTAGAAGTACGGCTTGTTAGAATAGATCTTAGAAGCGTCATATCTGCGGCTAAATGTTAAGACTGTTAACGGTACTGTGCGAATCGTCGAAACTCGGTACTATTATGAAATTGTTACGAACGTGAAATGATCAACAAGAGTTCGGCGAGAGAACTTAAGCGCGATCCTTATCCTATTATCCGACGTGAGATTTCGGAATACTCATAACACCTACCCGTATATTTTTAAAATATATTTTCTATCACGATACGGAACGCGATGTACTGCATAAAATATGAGATAAGAGAAAATATCTTCGCGCGTTTTTCAAGATGCGAGAGGTTGGGGTATATTTGTATATCGATGTACAGATTGTAGGCTAATATTATATTTTGTCATACGGCACATGTTTTAAACCTATCGATTGTTTATAGAATAGAGAAATATCCGAGAATCTCTATCCTATGGTCAATTAACACGCTTGAAATTGCAGTCGTATGATAAAAAACGAACAATGTAATATTAGCTGTACAAGTCAATTATGGTTTCATTCTTGTTTAATTGAAATGTGCTTTTGCCGCCATTCAAGTGACGAGAAGAGACAAGACTTCGCGAGATCAAAGGAGATCCCTCGTAGCGCGAGTGTAAATGTAAAATTTTTCCAAAGAAGAAGCAAACAAAAAAGAAAGAGAAAGATAATGCCTTGAAGCGCAATGCAAAAAATAAATCGAACGTATTATTTCCCGAGTGATCGAGACTTAAATTCGAATTTTTCAACATCGGCGAAACTTTTGACGCGGAAACTTCGCGAGAACGATGGAGCAAGCGAAATTTTATTCGTGACCACGGAGGAAGAAAGGGGGAGGGTTTTTGGTTCTCCACGAGGGCGAATGAGCGCTGAAAGTGACAATAATTAACGCAGCCTTATCCGATGAAAGTATCTACAACCAGCACTATTATACTGCGCGTTCCTTGAGACTGATTCGCGAAGGGGTCACTTGCAAATGGATGAACGGGTACAAAAGGAACATCCACCTACGGTGTAATCGGCGTACCTCCGCTTCCGGGATCCTTTGATCTTTCGAGCGCGTCAGAGTTGACGATTTCGATGACGAGCTGCGGAATCGCGCGACGGAATCCCCGCAGGAGTCGCAAGAAGTGGGCGTTAAAACTAGAAAAAATCGACTCCTTTCGCAATCCTTGTATTCTGAATTCATTTTGATTGGCCGGAAAGTAATCACAGTAATACAAATTAAAATTTCAACAACGTTAAATATACGAAGGCAGTTCGATAAAGCAGTGATTTCTTTTTAATTTTGTAAAAATCAAAATTCAACTTATTTTTTAAAATAGTCTCCTTTTAAAGTCACTGACTTATCAAACCTCCCACGCGCGCGTACGGTGGAGGTATTAAAAATAAAAATATTGCCCAAGGAATACTCGAATTCAAGTTACATTCTAATCACTTGATGAATAACTTGGGTTAATACGAATAGAAAGTCAATGTTTCTAAAAAAAAATTCTTTTATATTATATATTGTTAGTAACACAATTATCGGCGTAATATTGGTCCAATATTGGCCCAATATATCCCCAACATTTCACGAATGCATCGAATAAATTGCTACTAAAATTATATTTAAGAATCCTGCGAGCATTCTGTCGATACAGCTCGTTGGACTGCATCTTTAATAAATCGATTGTTTCCTTAATCGGACGATCGCGAGTACGCAAGGATCGCGCAGAGGCTTTAGTGTGATTATATAAATTTAGAGTACGTATAATATAATAATATAACGCGAAGAGAGGTTTAGATCGCGTAATGACTATTGATCGTTCAACGTGTTTGTTCACTACGTTTGTCCGTTATTGTTAGTGCGTTAGAACGATTTATGAATATAAATATTATTATTATTATATATATATATATATTATATATTCACGTTGCGATGCGTTCGGTGCCGATGGCGAAGGGACCGGAATATATCTCGAGGCTGCTCTATATTCTACGATCGAGGTGAAGCTAAAAGTATAGCCGAAAGCGAATGTCTCAGCGTCGGACGCATCGACGCACGGCTTCCAGAATTTAGAAAGCGCCGACCGAGTAAAATGGCGCCTTAGATCTTCATTAAAAGCGGACCATTCTCGCCGTCGATTTCGCGGGCTCCGTACCGCGGCGTCGATCGCATAATTTGAGGAGGATACATCGAACCTGTGGCGAACGATTTCGTTCGCGCGCACGAAAGAAGCGAGGAAAAAGGATCGTTAAGGGTACGCTTAGGGGTTTCTTCGATCTCCGAGAACGCCTGGAGATCGAAGGCTTTACGAGCAGTAGCAACAAGCAATTCGCGGAAACGCGTTCATTGGACAGAGTTGTCACAAAATTAGAAATCAGAGAAATAGCAAGGAATTTAGAAAACAATCAGAAATTTGGCAAAATTTTATGGAAAATTAAAATTTTTGACTGTAAAGAAAACTTAATATGCGTATACAATTTTGAAATACTGCCAACTTAACAGTTAAATGCGAGCAGTGTCAACAATATTAATAGTAATTTATAATGCTATGTTAAATTGCGGTAAAATATTTGACGATTCCGAAATCAGAATGAAAATACAAAAATTTCAAAATATTATTGAAAGCATTAGAGAAAATCATGAAATTTTGTCTGGAAATCAAAGAAAAGTTATGAAATTTTAAGATGAAAAGTTTGTGACAACCCTGTTGAAGGTTCAGTCCATCCTGTGAAAATCTTTAGGAAGCAAAGACTTGATGTCGTAGTCATCCTTGACAAGGAGTGCCGCGCAAGGACTCCACAGGTCCGCACTTCGAGCATCAACGAATGGAACGATAAGCGAACTTACAATTAGAGTTTATTAAGGGAGCTACCCGTCTAATTTCCGTCTTTTTTTTTTTATCGCGCAGCCCGATGCGCATCCCGTAAACCGTCGGCCGAAACGTCGACGATTACTCGAGGAACCGGTGTCGTTTAGAGTCAATTCACCTGTGGCAATTATTAGTAGTAATTAGGAGAGTTCGCAAGGTGATCTGAAGGATTGGGGGAATAGGGAACGTGCGCGTCCCTCGTCTCCCGTTTCTCGGCACACTGTCCGAACATCGATCAATTCAAGGGTGTCCTTAATAGTGTAATTAAAGTCAATAATGTACCTTTTTAGACGTTCTCTCTCTCTCTCTCTCTCTCTCTCTCTCTCTCTCTCTCTCTCTCATAATTATAATTCCGTGAATTGCCCGTCCTTTTACAATTGTTCCCATCATCTCCAGCGGTTCCCAGAGGATTGCACGGAGAGGCCGACGATGATATATCTATCCTATTATCTACATCAAGTACACACTTGTACAAAATACAGCAGGATGCTTGCACAAAATGCAGGATGACGTGTGAAGCAATGTTCACTGATAACGTTAACGCAAAATATCGAAGGGCGTCGAGCGTAGCGGAGATCAGACGTAATCGTGTTGTTGATCTACCGGAATACAATACGTAGATTTTATATCACGACATTGTGTACTTAGATTATATATATATATATATTACCGATATATACATATTACCTGATTAATTAAGTTTATATAGCTGTCTCTCCTCTACTTGCAGTATTATCCCAGTCTTCGTCGCGTATACACGTTTGGATACGTTTGTACCTGTTAAATCGCGAAGGAGAGAGCCTTCCAACCCCCGTTGTGCGATAAGTCATTTTTCAATGAGTTTCTTCTTTTCAGGATCTCCTCAACGCCTCGCTTTACATTTCGATCCCGCTCTCTTCTTTGCAGCCAGCATGCAATGGCAAACGTAGCCGCGGTCGGTGGCAGCTTCGAAAGTATCATAATTATAACAAACACCCTTATATAACGTTAATAAAATAAAAGAACTGTATACAGCGTAAAGAAAGTAGACATACAACGAATATAATTACATCGGCTGCCGCTGTTTAAATAGCCACGCTATTTTGCCCATACAGCTTTTGCAGCAATCGGCCATTCAGCGAAGTTCCGTTTTCCTTCTTTTTGCGTCGTTCGTCGTACAAAGTGCAAAAAAAGCATGCGAATCACCAGGATCTTTCCATCGTTATTTAAATTTCCAGAAGTATATCCTAACGCGTCAATATATATATAGTACATCTATAATATCTCTAGTCATAGCTTATTACAGCGTTATGTAAATAATTGTTCTACCAATGTCGCATATATAAATATATATATAAGTATTATATATATTTATAGATTTAAATATATATTATATATATATACACATCTGGCAAATATATATACATATATATATATATATGTATGTATATTGAGAGTATACGTGCGTAGTGAATACAGAAAGCTAGAAAGAGCCTAAAGTACACATATATATATATTATAATAAATTTATGCGCCACGTTTCATTGCAAAGAGAGCTACGTACCGAATGGAAACAATTTAATATTACACATACCTTGTTTAGCTTGAAAGCGGGAAGAAAGTAGATTAGTTATGTACTCTAATGTACTTAAAACGTTTCAACAATAAAGCTATTGCTACAATTAATCTCGATTTAAAGGGAACGACTAATTTTAGTTTTAATTTTGTGGGAATTATGAGTAAGCAATAACACTGGGTTTTACGAATTGCATTAATATTTGTGTTTTATTAAATTTCATACAGTTTAAATTAAAGTTACATTATAGACATAGATATTTCAATAATATATACTTCTCTGTGCTCTTAACGCGCGATAATATTTGCGTTCGTAATTAGTTCCCCAGCACTCTATAAATACATCCACGATGCATAAAAAAATATAAAATCTATACAGATTTATATATATGTGTTGTTGTTTGCATAATCGATGCATCATGGATTTTCAGTATTTATATGATGGTGCTTAAATATATATATAAAAAAAATATGTGTACACAAACTTTCGACACGTTCAAGAATCCGCAGTTTTCTGCTCCAATTGATGCTGCGACTGTTGACGTTCCTCATTGCGTGGCATATCGCAGCTCGACAGAGACTGCAGCTTAGGCGGACAATTGTCCAAAGTCGACTCGAGAGCGTACAGTTTGTCGAGTTGCTGGCGAATATGATTCAGACATTCCAGACGAACGATCCGTCTGCTAGTGGAATTTCTACGGATCGTTAGACCGTTGAACAATAGCTGCCAACCATTTTCCTGAAGTTCGCGAGTTATCTTCTCGAGGCTTTCCTGTTCCGTTTGTTCCTGCTGCATAGGCACGTCATTCTGACAACATAGAAAACATTTATCGCAACAATGCAGAAATATTCGACTTAATCCCCTTTTTGTAAAATAATGAGAAAAAGATATTGCTTCCTCGCTTCAAAAGAGTGACAACTAAAGAAATTAATTTTCTCAGAAAAGGAGAAGAGCTATTTTACAACAATTTTAGCTTGAGAAAAAATTTAATAATATTATTCACATTAACAGACACTGCGCCAACGACCTTGATCTTGATATGTCAAAATGACATTCAAAAAGTTTTAGGTAGCGGTCGCGCACTGTGAGTTCGTTCAAAAGTTTTTTTTAACAAATAAAGTTTAAAAAGTAATATCTTATTTTTGCTCTATATACTAACGGACATAACGACTTTCCAAGCGAAGAAAGGTTCACCCCACATCCCCCCTGCCTAGAAGCCTACGACTTTCGGAAGATTTACTCTCCTTTTCCCTTCTTAGATTAAAATGTACTTAAATTATTTAATACGTTTAGATCTCGCTTCGCATGGAAAATCGTGTGCTTCTATAAGGCAGAGGCAGAAAATGGGATAGACCTTCCTTCGTGTGGAAAGTCGAACGCCTTTAAGAATACAGGAAGAATACAGGCTAGTTTTTAATATAGTATATAAAATAAAAATAAATTATTTTCACAACTCTAAAAAATTACTCTTTTATAACGATTTTGACAATTTTTTACATAAAGTCGAGTTTTAGTTTATTTTTTATGACTAATAGAGGGTAATGTTCAGAGTTAACAATTATACTCAAAATCATAATATCATCATTCAAAAATCATTTTTTTTTTTTTAATTATATTACTTTTGTAGCAAGGGAGCTATACACACAGAAAATCTGGGAAAAACCAAGGAAAGTCCTAAACATATAAAAAAAAAAATTTTTTTTTACGCGCATGTATGAGATTGACGAATAAATTAAGATGCATGTCGTATGTACTTTCGTGTCGTCCGTGGTGCCAAGCATACGATCAATCGATTCCAGAATGCGAGTTTTAGTGGCATGGAGATCCAGCTTCGCTAGACGCTCGGGTTCGTTAAGTACGAGTTCCTTCGTGAGTCTATTAATTGACTGGTCAATCATGGTGGATGACTTGCTCCCTGCATCTCCGGTCTTTCTTGATTTCACCGTTCTCGCGAGATTTTCAGGTCTCCGTCTCTCGAGTTTCTTGTCATCCTCGCTTACCGTCGCCTCGCCGTTGCCTCGCTTCAACCTCTCTAGATCCTCGAGACTCAAAACGAGGCTCCTCACCTCCTGAGATTCGACGTCACTTTCGTTCCTCGTCTCTGCGACATATTCACCGTCACCGATGCCGACGTAGCGACGTCTCGGTTCAGAATCCAGCGCGCGCGACTTCCTTAACTGGACAGTACGCGGAATATATTTCACCGACACCTCACTCTCGGCGTCGGAACATTCTCGCTCGTCTGGCGATCTCTAGAAGATATCAGATAAATTTGAAAATAATCGGGTTGATAGAAGATCCCCTTTGATGATTTTTTGTGTAATAAATTACGCTTCCTTCAAAGAGGCTACACGGTATGCAGATTATCTCTGTGTTTTGATACATCGTTAAATGCCAATGTTTCGAGAACATTGCAGTTCATCAGGGCGAGAAGCAACCTGATACACAGTACCAGTATCAAGTTACTTCTCGCCTTAATGAAGTGAACTTCAAAACGTTGGCATTTCACAATGTATCAAGCTACAGAGAACCCGCACATAGCGTATAGCTTCTTTGAAGAAAATAATAGAAAAACCCTCCGAAAGTGTTATTAAATTACACTTCTCTTTCTCTCTAGAATTGTATAGTACGGATAATTTTTCGTTGAAGAGCGAGTATTAGTACCTCAAGTTGTTTACAATGACGGTGTTTTTTTAGCGAGCTTTTGACGGGTATCGCTCGCGCATACTTGGAGCAAGCCACGATATCTTCGTTGGTCAGCTCTGAGTTCGCGGCGTCTCCCTTCATTCTGAACAAATACCTGTCGTGCTCGAATCTCCGCTGACGACGAGACTGCAGTGGTCTTTTGGAACAACGAGGATGAATATCTGTTTGATAATCGTGCCAATATAGTTTCTGCGACAGGGGACTGCTCTGCGATTTCTTGATGGCCGAACTAATCGGTTCCGTAAAAACACGTTCACATTGATCTATCATCGCTTCAACGTTTTCCAAAGTCCTTGAAGGTAATTCTGATTCGATTAGAGAAGTTTTCTAATTTTTTCGTTGAAAGTTAATTAGCTTAATTAAATCTGAATATCTTCAAGCTTTCAACGGAAAGTAAAAGAAAAATAGTAAAAATACCGTGGAGATTGATATAAAGAAGAATATTTCTATGCTCAGACAAATTTATTCTGAGAAATCGATGTCAAGGAATTAAAAAGTCTATTACATACAATCCTATAGCCAAAAGTTTGGAAACACTATTATTTTATATTTTATGAAAAATTAGACATCTCGTTGAAAAAAAATCGTAGAAAAGTTTTCGACCAAGCGTTTTGAAGGGCAAAGATAGGGCTTTAAATTCGCGTTTGAATTTTTTGTCTACATTTTGTTCTTAAATTACATGAAATTAAAAATTGATATTTTTTGCAATATTTTTATCTTACTTTGAAGCGCTTCAGTTTTATGAGACATCATCGAATATAATTTAATACAAAAGTATTTAAAAGTAGGCTTTGTACGCTTTAAAATGCTTTTTAGAAAAATTTAATACGATTATTTTTAACAAAGATATCGAATTTTTACGTAAAAATTCATGTTTCATAAAATTTTTTACTTCAAAACTAAAGAGTTTACGGAAAAAGGAGGAAAACGAAAAAATGTTTATATAAGTATATAAAGTCCCGAATTCGCATAAATTCTTAAAAACAATTTTTTTAACATTTCTTTATTAGCTTTTATTAAAAAAACAAATTTTATTCACTTTGTCATTTCCTGCAGACCAAAAAGTTGCAACTGTCGCAAATCAATTTTCATTAAATAAAAGTTTTTAACTAATAAAGTTTAACTTTGCCCTTCAAAACGCTTGGTCGAAAACTTTTCTACGATTTTTTTTCAACGAGATGTCTAATTTTTCGTAAAATGTGAAATAATAGTGTTTTCAAACTTTTTTGACTATAGGATTGTATGTAACAGACTTTGTAATTCCTTGATATCGATTTCTCAGAATAAATTTGTCTGATTGTGAGTATAGAAATACTCTTCATTATGGGTGCCTTCCAATAAGCGACACAGGTGACACGGTGTGACATAGTGTATCAGGTACATCCTTATTGTTCGCCAATGTTAAACAAGGATGAGATGATCACTGTATTGTACTATATCGCTTGTTGGAAGGCACACTATATCAATCCCCATGGTATTTTTACTATTTTTCTTTTACTTTTCGTTGTGTGAAAGCTTGAAGGTATTCAGATATAATTAAGATAATATATCTCTCTCTCTCTCCCTCTCTCTCTCTCCCTCCCCCCCTCTCTCTCTCTCTCTCTCTCTTCCTCTCTCTCTTCATACAATTTATTTATTGTACATATATCCACACATAGATCTTTTATTTAATTTATAGTTAATTATTAATGTATAATTATTCTTTATTTAGATTTAAATAGAATGAAATAAAAAAATAAAAACAGAGAATATATATATAATATAGGTAATGGATATATACAGGTAATGGATTTTAACAGAAACTATGTATCAATGTATAGCAATTTCTGATTTGAAATCTATTGCCTGTGTATTTATTCCCTACTTCTATCCCTTATTCTCTTTATTGTGTTCGAGCTTTTAATCAGCTAGAAATGTCTTCACCTTGGTCGACTAGGCGAAGAAAATCTTCGCCTTTCAGGCGGGCAATGACACGAAGGACAATGCTTCTCATAATTTCTCGTTTTCCTTTTATGCATCACAACGTTGCGCGGTAAGTCCTCGGGTTCATTTTGTCCGCAATTAGAGCAGAACTCACCGTGATGATACAATCCGATATTCCTATACGCATTCGCAGGTATTCTCTTGTACAGTTCCATAATTTTCTAAAATAAATTGTATCCAAGACGAGATATAAAAGCTGCCGGAAACTTAATCTTTTTTCAATTTATCCGTACCGTATTCAGTTGTAATCAAAGTTGGCCAAAAGTTCTTGCATCCGATAATAACAAAATTCCACCAAGAAAATCGAACTGAGAACTCATGATACTGTTACTAATACATAATTTCCATTTATCCAAAAGTATACAATAAATTTTGTTCAATTATTAATATCTTCGTGAGTTTAGAATCGTGAGCACAAAGAAATATAAAAAAAGTATATAGCTAATATGAAAGATTGTATACCATACATATTCCGTATAGAAAAAAAGAAACTAAAGGAAGTTTGACGCAACTCATGCTTGTCCAAGTTCGATGCGAACGTGTTTCGATTCGAGTTCGTTGCAAAATTAGATACAGATCCGAGGAAATCCAATTGATATTGGAGCTGCATAAATCCATTTCGAAAAGTGAAATGTCATGTTATTAGTTACAGCGCGTGCAAAAGTCTTAGAATTAATTAAAATTCCTTTGTAGCTTCTGAAATATTAACATTACTATGTCATATCAATTCTATAGAATTCTCATTGTATATAAACAATCAATTTATTGTATTGATAAAAATATCACAGACTTCAAAAATAGTAATATTTAAATTATATATATACACACACATCTATAAATGCATTCTCGGTAATATAATGGATAATAACTAACAACATAAAATTGCAAATAGATAATAATTATATAATTTCGATAAAAACGAGTAATTAGAAAAATAATAGCAATTTAGAAAAAAAGTATTATTTATGAGAAAAAACATTTTAAGAATTATGATTTGAAGAAATTTTAGAATTTGTGTGAGGGGATTATTCGTACTTATTGTATTATATAAACAAAGATAAAGATTCAGATTTCTAATTCAACAATATACGAAACAACGCTGGATGATTATTGAAACAGGCATATTTATGTGAACATTTATGCCACGTAATTTTTATTTAAAAAATACTGTTTATTGCAAAACAATTTGTATATCTTTCTTCTGACGGGACATAACGTAAAATAAATATCACCATACATACAAATATACACGCGTGACGTAGCGTCAACGTAGAGATTGTACATTGTTTTTACAGTCTGGATTTAATATTCCGTAGAATGCTTTTCTTTTGAGTTCTCCCAATTAATAGGCAACGTTATCTAAAAGGAGGCTAGAATGTCGCTAAATGGAGTTCCAGGTTCTTTCGCGGCAGCTTCGAAAGTCTCGACAAATGCCTTCTTTTGAGATTCTTTAGATAGCTGAAATCAATGAATAAAATAAATACTAAAAATAGCTAAAAGTTAAATAACATTGATGTACCTTATGATAGAAATCCGAAGCTGCTATACACAATATTTTTTTGTCTTCATATTCGTATTTTCCTATTCTCGACTGGACATACGGAAATCTACCATGTTATTGCTAAGGAAGAATTACTTCCCCCCCCCCCCCAAAAAAACCGATAAAGTTATATCGATGAAAAAAGGATACAAAGCTCTCAACCAATGATTTGTCGACGCACTTATGAAGAAACAGGACAAGCACCAAGTCGATATTGCCATCGGTAAGCTTTGAATGAAATTCGGTAAACTGAAGACCACCCAGTCTTGAAGGAGCTCCATTTCCGTACAGGTACACGCTTTCTCACAGACCTGGTGTAAAATCAGATCGAATCATACATTTGTAAATCTTTTATTTCACACTTCAGTCGCGATATAATTCAAGATCTTTGATTAATTTACAAACTTTAAAAACTACAGCAGAGAGTAATCTCGGGTGCGGTTGCTGCGGGGACAGGAATTCCCCTATAACTTTAGTGAGGATCTCCGAAGGTGGGAAAAAGTCTCCGAGGAGACACGACAAAACTGTGCATAGCACCTCCACCTCCATGGAATGTCCCTTACGGATCTTATCGAATATCGCGGAAGTGCGTTCGATAGATCGAACCAGCGTCTCTGGTTCTACATCTGGTAACGGTTCTTCGACACCAGGCTGATTCAATCGATCAGCTGCCTCTGTATACATGCACGTCAGCAGAAGTTGTAATGCTGGCAATGAGAGCAGGGGACTGGGTTGCTTTAGCCGATCTATCGCAACTTTAACGATCTGCTCGGCGACCTTGCCAATGACGCTTTTTGTCGCTACGAGCCTCTCAAGACCCTGTTAAGTTAAATAAGCAGTTTGCGTATTCGTGTTACTTAACCAAAGATGAAAAACACCGACATACCTGCAGAAGAGTTTGATGTAAACCGTATGAGATATTTTGAGATGTGACTAGAGAAAGGACTAATTCCAACACGGCCGGCGCTTCCGTGTCTGGCGGTGTGTCTTCCGCATGTTCCAACAAGAAAAACACTAAAGCCCACATTATTCCCTGATGCTCTTCACTTTGGCTTAGAATACTGTATTAGAGTAAAAACGAATTAGATAATGATCACAAAATGACATTAAACAAATTAATAAATGTGTTTAATATTCCTTCATCGAATGAAATGAAATTGTTTTGAATTATCACCTATTCGAATCCTGCGAATCAATGTGTTTCTGTATATATTCAATAGCCAGAGGATGTATAATATTCATTGTTTCTTCGCATTTGGCCAGTACCGCGCTTTGCAGCAAGTACAGAGAGCCGTGAAGCGCAGATACTCTGGAAGCCAGGAATACCGACTTTAAATTAACGTCCACTATACGCTTTACTTTATCTAATGTGTCCAAGTCCTATAAAGTAATGTTAGTTAAAAAGAAGGATTTTTGTTTCTCTTTATCATATGTGATTTCTTTATTATATAAAATTCCTAGCGCGTACCAAAGGCGTTAAAACGGCGGCGGCTTTACACACAGAGACGGTCAGATACTGATGCAAGATCGCATTCTCCGTTGGATGAACCCTCGAGACTTCCAGGCACACGTCCAGCATCCACTGGTATTGCGATCTCTCGAGGAAAAGTTCTGAAATCGCCAGAATAGACTTCATAATCTCCGTCAATAATTGTACAGGCGTATTAACCTGCT